TTCCTCTATTACCCTGTGATTACACTGATCACCTTTCAATAACCATTAATTTTGCTCAAAAAATAGTCATTAATCGTGACCATTGGTCAGTTTTTCCAGGTGAAAATCTCTCATAATAATAATCATTAGTTGTTATCATTTATTGCTGAACTGCTTCAACTACTTTATTTTTCATTCCAATTTACTAATCACCTTTTATCCATTTAGCTAAATTAGTTTCATTTTATTAGCTCGATCCACCCAAAGTGGCCTGACTTTATTTTTCGATTCACAATTAAATTGATTGGTTCATTTTCTACAATCAAGTACTAAGCATGATTATCAGTTCATCAGAACTTATGTTGGCTTGAAAAAACTATCGATTAATATGAAAAAAATGCTTTCCAAAAATCGTAAAAATCACGAAAAAAGTACACTAATATTAATCATAATCTCCTTTGATTTGCTCGAAAACTTTTTCTAACTTTTTGACCTGGACTATTAATAGAAAATCAATTTAATCATCGACATAAATTGTTGAGAACATTATAATCTGTATTAATAGATTAATTGCCTAATAAAAGTTCTAGACACATCGAACTTGAAAAATGTGCCTTAATACAATTTCGAAGTTTTTTTCTCGCAAAAATAAAGGAAAATTAGATGAGCTAATTATAAGTTAATTAGCGCTTAGAGTCCGATCATTTTGGCATAATCAAGGTAATATTAGGTTTTCAAGAAAATAGAGAAAAAAAATTAAATGAAAAATGTTGATAGTTGAACATTAGGTTAGATTAATTAGTCTTTGATCAGCTGAAAAATAAATGATAAGATGAGAAAGAGGCTTGAATGGAGGCCTGACACCAATAGAGGTGTGTGTCTGTGCCTTATCCCCTTATTATTAGGCACGGCGAGATTATTGTCCATGGAAAAGGAAGGCGTTAGATTACCTGAAATTACCTGAAAATTCATAGTATCTTTTAGAATTGAATCTTTGTCCTCAATTTTTTCTCTTCACCTCAATCATGGAGAGAAAGAAGAGAATTATAAGAAAACAAGCCAAGCAAGAAGATGAAGATAAAGATGAAGATGAAGATGAAGATGAAGATGAAGATGAAGATGAAGATGAAGAATGTAATTTTGCAGTTCTCTTAGTAAAGTGATTCGATTGCCCCTAACAGAGTTTCCCATTCATTTCTTTTTCTAAATCAATCCAAAATTATTATTTCTTTCATGGTTTCTACTCTTTGGTATCTCAATCATTCACCATAAAGTTATAACCATTTTTACACACAAACTCAGCGAGGATCCTGATGGCTGTTCCCAAATATTTCAATCACCCTGTAGCCCAATACGATGGCCTCTCTTTATATTATATAAGTTTTTCCCTTTTTTTGGCCATTTTTTATTTCATTTTCATTTTCTCTTCTTCTTTTTATGTATCCTCTCCCTCTCTCTCTTCATCTTTACCTCATGAATACCTTTTCTTTATGCTTACCTCATGCTCTTACCTGGCCAACAAGGCATTACCTGTATCTGACCTAGCGGGACTTATCCCTGTGATCCCTTGTAATTTGAGGCTTAACCAAGGAGAGTTGAATTTTTCCCTCATCATCATTATATCAATAGTGATGATAATGATTATCTTGAGGCCACCGAGCTTGACCTACCATATACATTGATTATAATCTTATTTTTTTCTCACCTTTTTGTGTCAATCTTTCTGATGAGAGATAATAGACTGACCACTCAATTGTTGTCTCTTTTTTTCTTGTTGTGTCCACTACCAATTCACAGAAATGTTTATTATTATTGAAAATGATTCTTGACATGAAAAAACTTAATCACTTACTCTAATCCTTAATCATTACTAATACTTATTATCATTATTAATGATCATATCATGACGAGATTACATTGGACCATCAATATTACCTTGAACTTTTCGGCAATTTAATTTCAATCATGGTTATAATCATTTCTACCCTTGATTATTACCATTAAGTTGATTATATTGTCGTGTAGTTGATTATAAACCTTTAATTTTAAGTCAATACATTTTCACTGAGCGTGGGATGAATTCTTGTTTTTTCACCATAGGAATTGAGGGAACCAAAGTCCACTTTCATTATTAGTATAATAGTCACTCAAGTCCCGTCTCGGTCATTTAGAACCGATCATTATCATCATCTCTTCATCTTCCTTTGCAATTTTCATCTTCTCAACCTTTTTTCACTTGAAAATATTTCATCTTTTACTCTATCATCATCTCCATCATCATCATCATCATTATCATTATCATCATCATCTTCCTTATCCTCTCATGTTGCTTGTAAACATCATTATTTTGGTCAACGTTTTCAAATCAAACTTGATCATCAATTGATTGTAAACCTTGCAAAGGTTAATCATTGGATTATCATAGTTAACAATCAGCAGTTAGTTTAGAAAAGTTTTCCTTTTCCTTTAGAAAACTTTGTAATATCTATTAGCTGTTTTTTTTTCTCAAACTACAATTAACTAACTATGATTAACTTTTTTCCACAATCAATTTACTTAACCTTATGTGTTTCATTAATTATCGTGATATTATTTCAATGTTGATTCAGTTTTCATATTTACCTGATGAAAGACAAGGATCACTTAACGTGCACTAAACAATTAACCTTTTACGATGAATTATCTGTTTGTTGTTAATTGTTGATCATAATTTGAAGTTTATTAATATCGTTGACAACGTTATAAGTGCAATTATATTTGTCGTTTATGAGATGACTAGTTATCACATAGGAAGATACATATAACATAATGTATATACAATAAGACGCTTCCTTTCCTGCCGATCCCACAAAAGTGGCCTCTTAATGAGTATCTTAGGCCTCAAATATTTCTTTCTCTGTAATAATATTAGTTTAAAAGTTGATAGTAAAAAAGTTATCACTTAAATTGTAATCGAAACGGTTCAAAGTCTTTGGCTTTTTAAACTAAACTTTTTTAGAACTTTATTCAACCTCGAAAGACCATTTCGTTACAATCGACTGACCTCTCGAATTTAATATCTATCATTATTAATATTATTAGTGTTTCATGGTTGATATCATCATCTTCATGATGAATGTCGCTCACTAAGACTCTCTTTACTTATGGTAACTCCCATCAATCAACTGTGAGACATTTTCAAGCAAAAACATACCCTCTTAAGCCTCAGGCTATCATCATCATCTTCATCATTCGTGAGCACTCATTTACAGTCTTGTTATTTATATTAAAGATAATAATATATATTTTTTTGATGAAAAAAAACTGGACTTTGTATTTGTTTCCGTCGTTTGTTTGAAAAAAAAAATACTTTCATCTTTTAAATTGAAAAAAAATGAAACCATCAAGTTGAAATGATGTTTTTTCATTTGTCTCTCTCATTGGCATAGTAATTATTATTATATCCATTATTTCATGAATACATTGAAACAGTTGTATTCATCACGAATACTCAGTTAGCTGATTGCATATTATATTGCTTATTATCTTGATTGCAACCAATTATTTCATATTTCGCTAAATAAGCTCCCCTCTCTCTCTCTCGCTCTCTCTCTGTAACCTCCTCTTGGCGTGAATGACAAAACCAACCTGGGCATCCCTTGGTTACGCTATTATCTATCTTCCTCATTATCATCATCGTTTTCAGCTTCTTCATCATCAGAATAAAGTTCCAAAAGCTGTCTCTCACGCTCAATACATCATCATAATCATAATCATCCTCATCATTTTCATCTTCTTACCTGTTCTTACCTCCTCATCTCTCTCTCTCTCTCTCTCTCTCTCTCTCTTTCTCTTTCTTTCTCTGTCCATTATTCGTTATTTTATTCAGCTTCTTGTTTCATTAAGTTAATGGTTTCCTGCTGCCCCTTAGCCTCATCATCATACTTATCCTCATAGTCGTTCATAGTTATATTATTATATTTGAGGCCACTTTCTCCCGACAACTACTAGTACATCGACTACCGACCTAAACCAGACAGAATAACTTTTCAACTCTCTTCAACACCGTGAGTGCCTCAAGCCTTTTTATCATCATCATACTTTGTCCTTGTCAGAATCATGCTAATATTTGATCATCTTAATGATAATAAACATGATAATAATGTTAATTGTGATGATGACCATGATAATAATACAGGTAACAACAATCTAATAATTAGACTTGAAGTTATTGAAACTTTTATGCTTTCAAAGAAAAATTTCAAATCCATTATTGGTTATTGGCCTTAAATTGTTTTATTACAGTTTACAATTTAATAAATCACTCAGTTAATTGTTTCACTGCAACCAATTAGTGACAATCATGACAATTAATGAAAATTTAATTATTTTACACCATTTTTATGGATGTAATTGCTAATTAAACAATTAAATGAACCATTTTAATTGTTTTGATTGCTCGTTTTTATCATGTTGTCTCTTGGTTTTTTTCATGTTTCGTTTAATTTGATTTGGTTTTTTCTTTGTGCTTTTTTCATCAATAATTTAATTAACTCTTGTATTCCGGAAGCTTACGATTTAATTGTAAGTGCGGATGTTTAATGATGATGATAATAATAATAAAACTATCATTTCGTTGATTAATTGTTATTTTTAATAGTTGTTGAAATGAACCTCACATTGTTTAAGTGACCTTAAGGTCTCATTAAATTGTGTTTCTTTCAACGTGTTGATACTTTGCCCATTTACAACATGTTGTTGTTTTAATCGTTTCGTTGGATTTCAATAACAATTAAGTAAATTAATCTTGTTAACAACAACCAACTGAGATGCTTGATAGTAATTATTTAAATTAAGGATTGAGTTTTTTTCTTTTTTTCTGGTTAATCAAGATCACAGAATCAAAGTGTCTACATTGAATTCATCAATCATAATTTTGTCGTTGTCGTTGGATTATTATCACGGGAAAATGAGTTTTTTTTTAACATGGAATTGTTTACAATTAACTAATTGTGATTGTGCTTTTTCTTTGTATCCTCTAGGAATCTTTGGAACCCAAAAATATCAAATCGTATCCGGAAATCTCGAAAATGCGTTTAGATTAGTTAGTCACCGAGAAAAGGATGATGTCCTTTATCATGATCTTCAGGTAATTATCGTGATTAATAACAAGGAGGTTATTTATACGTCTCTCTCTCTCATTAATCCGATTTTGATTCGCAATTATAATCAAAACTGTGAGAAGAAAATGGATTAGTTGAGGTTAGAGAACAGGAAAAAGAAAAAGAAAAAGGGTTAAGAGAGGATGAAGAAGGTGAGAGAGATGAGAGAGGTGAAGGGTGTAGTGGGTGGGAAGGATGAAAAGGATGAGAAGAAGATGAAGAAAGTGATTAAAAAGGAAAGGGTTGGTTAGAGAAAAAGAAAAGAAAGTGAAACTGAGTGAGAGCCTCGCCCATCATAAAGATGAATGAGATAACCACTAATTAAGAAAGTGATCGTTAATTAATTAGTTGATTGAGTGAATAAAATGCATTTGTAAAGAGTAGCATTGAGCGTAAACACCATCAAAGGGTTAAATTTGAAACAATTAGATGATTAGAGGTTATTATTTTCTTCTTGTAAATGGTTAAGTTTAATTAATTAATGATCTTTTCTTTTTTCTTTCGGTTGACTCAGGTGAACGGAATATTAGACCGTGAATCCACTTCCTATTACACTTTAATTGTCGAGGCTTTGGATGGTGGGACACCCCCGCTCTCCAGTCAACTTCTGGTCAATATCAGCATTCTCGATGTTAACGATAACGAACCGATATTTACTCAATCGCGATACGTTGCGACGCTACTTGAGAATGCGACTGTTGGAACATCGATCCTTCGTGTAACTGCCACCGATTCTGACGAAGGTTCAAATGGTAGGGTCGAATATTCATTGCCGACTAATCGAAGGCCAGGAACTGGAATTACCCTCACCGAAGAAGCTTCCTACTTCGAGATTAACAAAGAAACTGGTTGGATTTACTTATCTCGTCCAGTTGATTTCGAATTGAAAGATTCACACGAACTGGTTGTTGTCGCTCGAGATTGTGGCCTTCAACCTCTCGAAACTTCGGCATTTGTTTCCATCAGCGTAGTTAATGTTAATGATAATCTGCCGACGATTGATCTATTATTTCGAACCGAAGATGCTAAACCAATCGTTCCTGAAAATGTCAACATTGGTGATTTTATTTCGAGAATATTAATCAACGATTCGATTGGGTCTAATGGCTTAATATCGACGGCTGATTTCAATGGACCAACGACTTATACTTTTCCAGAGGATTGTTGTCATCGAAGCGAAAACATATTACGATTGGCATTGAATATTAGTCATGATCATTTCGATGTTAATTATCAGTTGAATGAAATATCGGGTCGAGAAAATATCTTCTCAATTAATTCGGAAAATGGTTTGATTGTGTTAATGGAACCTTTTGATTTTGAGAAAACATCAGAGTACAAGTTGAATTTGACAGCGGCCATTTACTTACGAACATCAATCGGCCCTTTGACAATATCAAACTTTGATCGAATCGGTTCATCGGCTTCAATAAATTCCGAATCAAATCAAAAACCAATCAGAACAATTTCTAAAGTTTTCACTCTCAAAATCACCAATGTTAATGACGAAAGGCCAATTTTCACTCAATCGAATTACAATCGAGAGATCTCGGAATCAGTTTCTCCTGGGACATTGGTTACTACGATCGAAGCCAAAGATGCCGACGCAAATTCTGATCTTATGTACGTGATTCCCCCAGGGCACGAGGAGTACAAGTACTTTTCTATTGATCGGAAAACGGGCGCATTGAAAACACTCATATCTTTGGATAGAGAAACTCGTGAGGTTCATCGGATTCCTATTTTTGTTTTCGATGACCATTATGTTCATGCAACTTCAACTGTGGTCAACGTGGTTCTACTTGACGTTAACGACAATCAACCGATATTTTCAAGTTTATCCCAATCAGTTAAGATTCTTGAAAACATTTCACCAGGAACCATTTTCCATACAATCATAGCTTCTGATTTAGATACACAAACGCGATCGGTCAACTCCTCGGCCAATCAACCGTCCAGTCTTGAATATTCAATAATCAATGGTAATGATGACGGTAAATTTGGTATCAATCGAGCCACTGGTCAGCTATCAACATTGTTACCTCTTGATCGTGAACGCAAATCTGGTTACAATTTAACAATTCAAGTGTCTGATTCACTTTACACCAATCGATGCAATTTAACAATCGAGCTGATTGATGTTAACGACAATTCACCAATATTTGATAAATCAGTTTATAAAACTATTCTTAACGAATCACAATTAGCTAATTGTGATACAAGTGGAACAAGAGTTTTATCCGTTGTAAAAGTGAGAGCAGTTGATCCAGATTTAGATAATTCAATCTATTACACTATTTCGGCCTCGGGGTCACCTGAAGCGATGTATTTCACTATCGATCCAATTACTGGTCTAATTACAACTGATTGTGCGGCATTGGCTCAGGCTCGAAAAGCTAAATTAGTTAATTTACCTGAAACCGATTATGCATCCTCAAGTCCGTCAAGTTTAACTCTCTCCTTTGATGTATTGGCCATTGATGTCGGAAGTTCACCTTATGCCACTCACACGAACAAAACAACGATTCAAGTGACAGTCGTAGATTTATCTGACTCGGATGCACCACGATTATCAAGCTACCCGACGATAATTGAAGTTTCTGAAAAGAGAGAAGATTTTAAAGTTGGAGCTGAAATCGGCCGGATAATTGTGGCCGAACAACGAACTCAATCAAAAGGCGAAAGTGCTAAAGATTCATCATTGAACTTCACAATTGTCGAAGAAGATACAAACATCCGATTCTCTGATTATTTCAATCTCGATCCTCGAACTGGTTCGATAACTGTCAAAAAACTGTCGACTCATAATCATCATGAAGCTTTTGTTGAAGTTCGTAGAAATGGATCAACATTTCACTCTAACTCTAGTCCAGGTCATTTTATCTGGAGAAATATTATCGACATCAGCAACTGATTCGAGTGCATCGACCAAACGAACACGACCTTCGATCCCATTTAATGTTTCACTTTTTGAAAATGTTCCTCTTGGAACCGAAGTTATTAATTTGATGTCACGATATCGAACCTTTGGACAAAACGAGGAACGAACACCATTGAACGATTACCAGTTCCAATTCGCGTTCACTTCCGTAAATCAATCAACTTTCTTCTTGTACCCAGACACTGGAATCATCACCATCCGTAAATTGTTAGATTTTGAAACTGACCCTTCTCGAATTGAATTGGTAATTCTAGCACGAAAACGAAACGCACCTTTTCAGAGCCAATGTTTTTCACCGTGACACTTTCTATGGTTAATGTTAACGATAACGCACCTCGATTCACTCAAGCTCATTATATTTCAACCGTTAGTGAAGGTGAATCAAGAGGTACTTTCGTTACCCAAATAAGTGCTCTTGATGTTGATAATGTGGACAGTTTAGTTGCATCTCGTGAATCGATTGACATGGAATCAAGTGGCAAATTGTCACCCGGTAAATCAACTGTAACTTATCATATTCTGGAAGGAAATCACGATAACGCATTTATCATCGATCCACCAGGATCGGGAATCGTTAAAACAAATATTGTTCTAGATCGGGAAATTCGAGATCATTATGTCTTAACGATAGTCGCCAATGATGAAGGTCCAACTGGACTATCTTCGGCTTCAAGGGACTCTCGTAATTTGGCCTCAGCATCATCTCAATTATCGTCACACTGTACCCTTGAAATTAATGTTATCGACATTAATGATAATGTACCAGTTTTTCCGCCCTATCAAGAGATTTCTGTCCTCGAAGATGCCGAAGTGGGTGCGACTGTTGCTTCTTTGACTGCAAATGATGTTGACACTTTTCCTCCACTAACTTATTATCAAAAAAGATCTCATTTGGATGGATCAAGTGATAATATCGATGATCTATTTGACATTGGACTTTACACTGGACGGATAACCTTAAAATCGCGACTTGATCAATTCCAGTCTCCATCAGTTACTTCATCATCGTCCCCGTCAACACCCAATCAATACAAAATTGCAGTTCTAGCCTCAGATTCACTCAACACCATTGAAACTCAAGTTGTAATCAAAGTTAAACCAAAAAATATTTACCAAAGGCCACCCGTTTTTGAGCACGATTATTATTTTGTCCCAATTAAGGTGGATACTCACCCGTGTGTTTTATCTGGATCAGTTAATTGTAAAATTGTTCAAGTTTCAACAAGTGAATCGGAAGAAGACATTTCAGATACTTTACCGCGTCTCAAGGTGACCTACAAATTAGCCGGTGGACCAAGTACATCGAAAGGCTTTTATATCGACTCATATACTGGCTCAATTTACAATAATCGAAGTTTATCTCGATTGGGTAAAGGTTCACCAACAGGTTCGATGTTTCAGTTGACGGTAATCGCAGGTTATACCAACGAAGCAGGAAGATTCATCTCAGGCCATAAAGCTAAAAGTTCCGTTTTAATCGTGATTCCTGGAGGAATTAATATCACTAATAGTTCATTTCAATGTCGGCCCTTTCAGATCAGAATTCGAGGGATGAACAAACAAATTATTCGATTTCGGTGAAAAGAGATTCAATTGATCAAATTCTCCTCAAATTGGATCGATTCAAATCTGAAACTTTCACACTGACCAATGGAAATACGGATCGAGCTTTCGCTCTAATTAGAGGCAACGAATTAATTATGACCAAAAAACCAACTCGAAGTGAATATAAATTGACGATTTTCCGATATTCAGCGGAAACTGAAATGATGGACGAAAACAGTAATCACCCGATAACTTTAACCGTCAACATTAAAGTCCAAATGGACGAATCTGGAAATACAACAACGGCTTTTAAATCTCAGATCTTTTCCGTGTCCATCAGCGAGACTTCGCTTCCAGGTCATCAGGTTATATCAGTTCGCTCCGATTCTGACCATTTATCATCTTATCGATACTCGATTTACTCTGGTAACGAAATGAATGCTTTTAAAATCGACGAAGTGACCGGCATCATAACAATCAACAAATCAATCGATTATGAGACTAAACGTTTCCATCAACTGACCATAATGGCCAAACCATTTTTCGGTTCACACAACAAAACGGACTTTTGTTTGGTCAATATTGAGATTTTGAATGAGAACGCCAATAGACTTAAACTCGGTTTACAATCTTACAAGATAATCGTTGATGAAAATACACCAATCGGTACTCCCGTCGTGAAGATAATGGCCTCTGATTCTGATATGTCATCGCTTAACTACACTTTCTTACCTTCGATTGATGGCCTTGCACCTTTCGGTTTTGATTCTCGTTCTGGTTACATCGTCACCACGGACACTATAGATTATGAGTCCCTAGTGTCCAGTTATTCACCAGCACCGCCGACATTTAAAATGATTTTGAAAGCTGTTGAAACGGCAAAAAGTTCAGCTGAAGTTTTAATCGAGGTTTCGATTGCATCGGTCGATGAATATCCGCCAAGGTTTACCTCAGAACGTTATGATTTCAAAGTGACCACTTCCTATGGCATTTCAACTGTAATTGTTGGACAGATATCGGCAACCGACGGTGATCTTGGACCCGATGGTCAAGTCGTCTACTCAATCCGAAGCTCATCTCCACCCGGAGCAGCTAAAAAGTTTTCCGTAAATTCAACCACTGGTTTAATAACAATTACCACCGCTGTTGTTGATAAAATTCCTCCTCATTTCACTTCTTTGGTTGTTTCCGCTTCCTCAGGCCGAGCGGGTTCACTCAACTCATTGACTCGAATAGCGATTAATTTAATTCTTACCGGTGATAAATTGTCGAATGATATTTCCCAATCAGGGTAAGTTAAAACTCTTCGACACTTTGATTGTCTTCTGATTAGATATTAATGTTTTTCTTTTTACGGTAATTTCAGGCCACTTTATGATGGATCAAATTTCAACTCGTCGACACCTTCAGTATCATCATTACCTGTTTGGGTCATGTTTTTGATTATCAGTCTATTCTTGATAACTTGTGTCCTGTTTGTCGCCATTTTTGCCATTCGATCACATCTTTTTGAACAATCATCTGGATCGGGTCATCACCACCATCGTCATGCTACTGGACATCATCATCAATCCTTCATGACAACATCAGCATTGGCATCTATTGTCCCCGGTGTCGGAACTTTACTTCGTAAAATTGATGCTGCTCGAGGTTCTTCCGGTGAAGGTTGTACTCATATTGGTAACACGACCATCGACTCAATGAACGACACGTCCACTACTTATGATCACGCATCATTTCAAGGTTTACATTTAGTCAATCATCATCATGGTCATGCAGCGTCTTACTTGACTTCAGGTCAACATAACTCACTTCCTCCTTGTTATAATGAGGTTAATAGTTTGGTCGCATCAGGATCAACGCCGAGAGGTTTAGCTAATCGACCAGGAAATGGTATCCACGGAGAAGGTAATTCAGCTTCGTCTGGACGTGGGTCAGCAGAAGAAGACGAGGTTGAAGGTGATCTGGATGGAGTCGATGAAGAGGTTCGAATGATTAATGAAGGTGATGGTTATCATACTTTTGGTATTGATAATTTAGGTCCAACTGATGAACACGAACTTATACCAAGCACAGCCGAGTATCTCGCTCGTCTTGTTATATTTGATCCCGATGTCGCAGTTCGAGAAGATGATGTTGACACTCTTGCAGAAGAAGTTCAAAGTAAAGCAGGAAGTGAATCAAAGGGATTCATGACTCGATCTAAATCAGGACTTTCGACTTCAAGTCTTCGTGATAGAAAACAACTTCGTCGACCACCAATAATACCTCCGATCGTCGATGAAAGCGAATGGAATGACCTATCATGTATCGAAGAGGAGCTTTCCGATGCTTACAGTTGGGACTATTTAGCCGATTGGGCTCCACAATATCAACCATTGGCCAATGTTTACACCGAGATTGCGACTTTAAAAGGCGCAATTCATTACGATAATACAATCGGCAGTTCATCGAGTGGACTTTCAGATTCACCCGCTTACATGAGAACCAGTTCAACCCCCGCTGGTGATGATAATAACCATGAAACAAACTCTCTTCATAGCCATTCAACAACCGGATCAAAAAGATCGGCTGCTCATTTGACCCTCCCGTCAACCTCCTCAGGTCATCATCGTCATCATCCTCTTTCAAACAATCGACTCTCAACACTTGACACACGAGGTTCAATTCCGCCTCATGAAAGTTCATCTTCGGTCTCAAACGGATCAGCATTCATACCTTTCGGTAATCGACACTTATCAACCAATGATGGATTTCCCTGTGATAATAGATTAAAAGGAATCGCCAGCGATTCATCGAGCGATGCGTCAACAGCGACCGCAGTTTTCGTAGATAATGATTCATCTGATCAATTGCGAATCTAATAGATCAGATTAATCGAAACTTATTTTCGTGATCAACTTATTAATAATTCTAGTCTCAAGATAACTTTCAGTTAAACTGCAAAGTGTAAATTGCCTTATAATTAAATATTCATCGTCTTTCCTAAATCCATTTGAATATCACAATCATACAGTTGTATTTCAATTCATCATCATCAAAATAAATTCACACTTTTTGTAGTATTTATTACAATTAAATAAAATAATCTCTCGAGTGTTAAGAAAGTTTTTCAAACTTTTATTCAACAGTTTTCATATTAGCTTCATCTTCACTGTCTTCGTCGTCGTTATTATCAAGACAATCATCTTCATATTGAGTGAGAAGCATTTGTTCAACTGTATCCGGCATTTCAACCCCTTTGGTCTCAGGTAACACAATAACCGAAAGCGCCGCAATCGTGGACGGTACTGATAACCAAATGAAAGTGACCTTTAAGCTGGTTGAATTATTCTGAGCATTTAAACAATCAATTGATTCTAATTGTGATTTACAATATGATGAAAATATTATCAACTCGAAACAATTAGTTTCTGGTTGATCATATTGTGAGGAGATAAATTTGATTAAGATGATTTCCTTTGCTCTTCGTTCGGTGTAGAATGATTTAAAACAATATTTCGGCTGGTGGAAGGTGTATCGTCATGTAGAATAGGGTTTTCTCCTGTATCTAAACGCTCATGGGTGATGATGTATAAATTTATCAATTCGTTGAAAGTCAAACCTGAAAATATAAGTTGTTGCATAAACTCTATTTGTTGATTACTAAACCTCATCACTAAGTTCCAGATCAGCTAATTCTTCGTCCAGTATTAGTTCCAGAAACCAGTCTTCGGGTCCAGTTATTGATAAGTGATGCAGAATCAGACGAGATTGGAGGTGATGCCGGATTTGGGGAAACTGGGGGCACACAAAGATGGTGGTGAACACCAAATATTTAAAATAAAACTTCTTAAGAATAAAACTTCTTAAGAGAAGTTTAGCACAGAGAGAGAGAGAAAGAAAAACAACTATGTGTTGATGTTGATGGTGGCAATGTTGGACTGTAAATGACTTCGCAACCCTCTGTCTTTCTCTCTTTCTCTTTTATAGCCAATTCGGTCCATTGCGAAAGAGAAAAGACAGAGCAAAAGAAAGAGGTTTGACCCCCCAAACAAAGAGAAAGAAAGAGTCTCTTTCTTATGGCCCCAAAGTTAATTGGATGCGATCTTAAACATTTCCTGCTTTTCCCTAGAGAGATGGTCATTTATAATGTCCACCTTTCCTAATGCTTTCTCTCCCTCCTAAAAGTAATTTAGTTTTCCTGCTTAATGTAGAAATGGTAAAGTCATAAAGAAGTTAATTTCCCTGGAGAGAGGAGGAGTAAAGCTACATACATTTACTTCTCCTCTCTTGCCAATGATAATCAAAATTAATAGGTTTTTGGGAGGAAAAACTCCCAAATAAAAATAATAACATTGGGGTGAGAAGGGAGGTTATGATACCTTTGTGTGTGCTAATATCTTGACTTTTATCCCCTCACAATATTCTGAGCATTGAAACAATTAATTGATTCTAATTGTGATTTACAATATGATGAAAATATTATCAATATTTCAATGACGAGCTGACTAAAATGCTAAAACCCAGTTTCTGCTATATTTGTCAAAAATCAATATTTGTTGTTAATAGTTACGAAAAAGTTGTAGATAGTAATTTACTTAGACTAATTTCTCGATACATGAACAATTATCCATTTGAACATCAATTACAAAAACTTAATGAATACAAAAATAAATTTTTCATGATTAACGCTAAATTAAAAATATGTTCAAGTTGTGAAACAAAATTACAAAAAAAAGTATTAAGTCAAAATAATATATTCAATGGTCTATTTTATGATGATATTCCCGATTGTTTGTCGACATTATCGCTTTTCGAATTAAAAATGATCAAACAAGTTGATCCGTTTATAAACATCGTAAAAGGTAACCCTCAATTTTATCAAACAACATTCAAGGGGGAAATTTTCTTTATTCCACAAAACATTGAAGAAATTAAAACAATATTACCAAAGTCTTTATCTAATTCTGATTGTATTTTTTTAGCAGAAGCTTCATTCCTGAATATGTCAAAAAACAGAGACTACTTAGTTAAAGCATATAAAATTAATACAGCTTTAACATGGTTATCTAAATTCAATAGACTATACAGTCGTGAAAAATGAGTTTCGAATGGTTTTTAATCATTCGCGCAGGTAGCGACTAAAATTAATAGATTAAACAATCAAGATAAGAAAAATCAATGAGTAAATCATCTAAGTCTTATCACTGATGATAAAGATTATCAATTAACTTTAGTAGCTAAGTTGCGCGAATGATTAAAAACCATTCGAAATTCATTTTTCACGACTGTATATGAATTATTTTACAATAAAAATAGATAAATATATTAGAAGAAAATCAATTTATCCCTGAAATAGAAATCGTTAAATTAGAAACTTTTAAAATAGTGACAAACAAACCATATAAATTATTGCTATCAAATAGCTTGAGTATAAATTCATTTTTAATAAAACAAACTAAAAACTATGAAAACATTCAAGAGTTATTTTTTTCTGCAAAAATGATACATAACATAACAAATATAATCCATTGGACACCAAATATGCTTGATTATATTATTATAGCTGCCACGCAATTGAATTGCGAACAAAAGTTCCAAGATTTGCATACTGATACAATTGAACAACTTATCGTTAACATATTAGAAAACAGTTATAAATTTATATTGCAAAAACGAATATTTAACTTTAAAAAAGAAACTTATAATAGAATTTCGCGTTGATAAATTACCACAATTAACTGAACTTACTTTTTTTAGAATAAATAATAACAATTTTATTACAATTACTACTAACAACAATTATTTACTACTAAATATAGACGGATGGCTAGAATCAGGCCGTAAATCAACATCAGAAAATAGCCGTGCTGCGATATTTTTATTTACTAACTTGAATGACATTATTTTATATAATTCCAACAATTTAGTTAAATTTGCGAAAATGAATATACTTAGTATGGTTGATTACCAAATAGAAATAATACTACAAACTGAAAGTTCCACATTCGATACTCAATACGATAAAGAAACATTAATTTTACCTCAAGATAACATCCAATTCAGTGCACAAGAGATAATAGAAAAATGTGAAGGTTCAAAAATAATGACTATAAATAGAAAGAAAAACGCTCCTCTTAAAACGAATTATGCTTTGAATTACGAAGAATTAGCATTTCCTAATCTATTTCCATACGGAATAGGAGGTTATGAATCTAATATAAGTGTACCGCTTCCAACAGATATAGCACATGATAACAAAAGAAGTAAAAAAAATTAGAACTAAGTTAATATTTTAAATCGAGAATCTGTAATTATATTTCGAAACACTCAAAAAATAAAGAATATATATATATTTTTCTTTAGTAGCTTATGAAACTCACAAATCATTAAGAGATAGTTCAGTATTATGTCAACTTGAAAATGAACAAAAAACAAATATAACGAATACAAAATTACATGCTTCTTTATTGTATATGCGTGGTTATTCAACCTACTGGAGAAAAGCATTAACTGATCTATTAGCCATAGTAAATTTACTAGGACCAGCTCACTTTTTCATGACATTTTCTGCGAACGAAACAAGATGGGATGAATGTATTAAATACTTATTTTTTAGAAAATATAATAAAGTATTAACAGACTTTGAATTAAGTAAATTTACAAATGAATTACGATTTAAATTAGTAAATGATTATCCAAAAGGCGCAACTTTTTATGTAAATAAACGATTTGAGCATTTTTTTAAAAAATTTATTATTATTTATAGCGAAGGAATTTTCGGTTCAAAAATCGTCGATTATTTTATAAGAGTTGAATTTCAAAATCGTGGATCTCCTCATTATCATCTTTTAATTTGGTTAGAAAAATGGCCAGAATATGATTCGACAGAAGCTTTAACAAAACTAGATACAATTATAAAAACATCTTCGTTACATCCATTATCAAATTTTCAAAACATAATTGTAGAGCAACTTGTTTTAAGAAAAACAAATCTCAATGTAAATACGGTTTTCCTAGACCACTTTCTGAGAAAACTAAATTAATAAATGATGAAGAAAAGAAAACCAAAAAATGGTTTTATAAAGTAATAGAAAAAAGTGACCAATATATAAATAATTACAATGAATATATGTTAGATATATGGCAAGCTAATATGGATATACAATGTATAGCAGGACTTGATGGAGTAATTGCTTACATAACTAAATATATATGTAAAATCGAATCTTCCCTAATAGTAAACAAAATTAAAAAATTGTTAAAAGACTCTTTTAGTATAAATAACGAAAAATATTTAATAAGACGAATTCATCAGCTAATATTATCAAACCGAACTGTTAGTGCACAAGAAGCAGTATTCCGTCTTAGTGGCTTAAAATTAGTAATATCATCCCTTGAATGTGTATATATTAATACTGATTATAGTGAATTAAGACCGAAATTAGTTTATAAGATTAATTCAGAACATCGTTTAAGAAGAATACAAGGAAAAAGTATCATTGAGAAGTATTGCGAAAGAGCTGATAACTCATCACATTTATGTCTTTTCGAGTATGTTAGTAATTATAAAACTCATTATGAAGCTAATAGCGATGATGAAGCAGAAGATGAAGAAGAGATGACACCAAATGATACTTTAAAAATAGACCTTCGTACGAAACCTGCAGCAGTTAAAATATCCTCTATGAAAGGTAAATCTCGTGAAAATTACTATTATACATTCATTTTATGTTTTGTACCGTTTAGAAGCGAAATTGAACATAGTAGAAATAGACATAATATCGAAAGTTATTTTCGAGAATGTCTGAATAATAATTTAGCTCGCTGCTCAGATATTAAATTATTTAATACAGTCCAACAAATGATAGAAGAAAAAATTTGGAATGTAATTCCTATCCCAAAACTTATAGATAATATCGATCGAGATCAAAACGATAGTGAGCAACTTATTACACAAACTAATATCGAAGAAGCTTTTAGTAAAATATTAAAAGATCATGAACTTTCAAACGATCAAATATTAGTTTCAAACGATATAAAAAATAGAACAATAGATTATAATAACAACAATAAACAAATGAAATTATTTATTACAGGTGAAGGTGGTTCCGGTAAAAGTTATTTATTACGTGTTTTAATGCTGATTTTAGACGAAATTCACTCAACAAGTTCTCCTAGTTACGTAGTAGGGGCATTAACTGGAATCGCAAGTCATAATATAAACGCTACAACTTTACATTCTCTTTATATGCTACCATTCGGAAGCTTTACTAATTTAAGCACAGTCAATCCATCTAAATATATGCATATGCATACTAGTGTCTTTTACATCTTGATTTC